GTACATGGTACGGTGAAAAAGTATAGTATTGACACAGCTGGAGTCCCAGAAGGAGAGGAAACAAAGCTTCAGGAAATGATAGTGGACATTTCTCCCTAGAGAATGCCCGGCTGGGTGCCGGGAGCCTTTATGAGCTCAGCTTTTATTATTATCGCTGTGAATGTTTAGTCCGCTCCTGCTCTGAAGAAGGGTTGGGATTATTGGCAATATGCCTGGAGTCCAAATGCAGGAGTCCCCCAAGGTGGCGGGGGGCGGTGACAGAGGATGAGATGGTTGGATAACATCATCAACTCAATGGACTTGAATTTGAGCAAACTCCGGGAGATGGTGAAGGATAGGGAAGCGTGGTGTGCTGCAGTCCATGGGATCGCAAAGAGCTGGACATGACTTAGCAATGGAACATCAAATGTTCCCCAAAGATCTCTTCACTCCTGGGGTGTTCTGCTTGGACTTCAGGCCTGAGAGTCTGGTTGGCACTAGCTGAAATCCCCAGTTTGAAAGTAGAATAAAGCTTCCTAAGGAAATAATATTATAAATAGATGTCGCGGTCTTCATTGTAGAGAGCTATAGTGCAGGGGCAAGCTTGGGAAAGAATCATGGTTTATTTAGAGCATTATGTCAACAGAAAGATGCATGCCTGAGTTTCAAAAGTTTGGAACCTAGCCATCAGCCGTCCTGTTGACGTGTTGGGGTGGCCTGTGCCGCCTTGATCACTCTGACTCTTGACACCCGGTCTGATTCCTTTGAAAGCTTAGGTCTGAATGTGTAAGTGACCTGGGAGCTTCCCAGGTGGTGCTAGTTAGAAAGAACCTGCCTGCCAATGCAGGAGATGTAAGAGACCCTGGTTCGATCCCCGGGTCGGGAAAATCCCCGGAAGGAGGGTATGGCAACCCACTCCAGTATTCTTGCCTGGAGAATCCCATGGACAGAGGAGCCTGGCGGGCTACAGTCCATGGGGTGTCACAGAGTCAGACACGACTGAAGCAGGTTAGCACACAAGACAGCACAACCTATTAGGGAAAAGACTCTGACCAAGAATAGATACAGATACAGATGTNCACTCCAGTATTCTTGCCTGGAGAATCCCATGGACAGAGGAGCCTGGCGGGCTACAGTCCATGGGGTGTCACAGAGTCAGACACGACTGAAGCAGGTTAGCACACAACACAGCACAACCTATTAGGGAAAAGACTCTGACCAAGAATAGATACAGATACAGATGTATGTGTGTGTATGGCTGAGTCTCTGTGCTATACACCTGAGACAACAATGAATGGCATTTTAAATCAACTATACTTCAATAATAATAAAGGGAAGAATTTATGCTGATACTTCCTCAGTAGTTGGTAGTATGTCCCCCTCTTATTTGGGCAAGACCTAGCCCATGTGTCTTTAGGATGGATGACTCTCTTATGGATAGTGAACCTGGAAAGCAGTAGTGAAGGCCTTCCTCGTGGGTTCGAGAAGTGGACTTCTTTTAAGAAGACATTTACATCTGTCGGGAAGTTGATGTACCTGGTGAGAGCCTTTAGGGGTTTCACGGGACTCAGAAAATTGTGCTCTGACCAGCCTGCTGTGTGACCTCAGGGAAGCCACGCAGCCTCCTTCCCTGCAGACTCGGGGCTGGATGGGCTGTGACAATGTCCTGTCATCTCAGGAAGTGGAGCCAGCTTCCTTCCAAGGGCATTAAGTCCCCCGGAAGTCACAGGGCCCAGGAGAAGGGGTGAGCAGCCTGTGCCTCCTGGCCCTCCTCTTGTTCCTCTGATGCCTTTATCCACCCAGGAGTTGCTGCATCAGAGCTTTGCAATTTCCTGTGGGACAGGCATGATCCGGGGCGTTTCCCTCCTGCCTGTGTGTGTGTGTGTGTGTGTGTGCAGGAAAAGGAAGTCACCCAGCCCAGTGATTCATGACAACTGCCCTGCATCCTGCTCTGCCATCCTCTGCCATCTGCGGGCAGGGCCTTCCCCTGGTGGCCGGTGGGGGAATGGCAGGCCCGGGAGCAGACCGTCCCCAAGTTGTCACAAAGCCTCTGACCCTACAAGATGATTTTGTTGTCGTTCAGTCGCTCAGTTGTGTCCAACTCTTTGGGACCCCATGGACTGCAGCACGCCAGGCTTCCCTGTCCTTCACTATCACCCGGAGTTTGCTCGAACTCATGTCCGTTGAATCAATGATGCTATCCAACCATCTCACCCTTTGTTGTCCCCTTCTCCTCCTGCGTTCAGTCTTTCCCAGCATCAGGGTCTTTTCTAATGAGTCGGCTCTTGGTAGCTGGAACCCTTGGGTAGAGCAAGTAGATGGGCTCTGAAACGTGCTCAGTGGAACAGAGTCCTGCCCATGAGAATGCCCCCTCGGGCCAGAGCCCTGGATGCCAGCCTCTCCCTTAGAGGACAAGGGTTCTGCTGCTGGGGGGAAGCTATCAAGGGGCCATTGTCCCAGCTGGGTACGGGGGAGGCCTGGGTGCAGCCCAGTTCTTCCTGTCCAGAGTCACTGGGGCTTCGAGGGCTGCAGGGTGGCAGAGGTCTGCTCTTTCACAGGGACTTTAAGCTCAGCTGAGATGGGAAGGACGGGGCTGTGGTTTGGGGACACTGAGAAGCGTTAGCTGGAGTCTTTCCTGGGGATGCAGCTGGAAATAGCAGTTGCATCGATCTGGAGTCCGAGGGGCTGGTGTTTCTTTTCCGTCATCACCTCTTTGAACTCTGCACATCGACCCAGTGCTGCAAAGATGCAGCATCTGGTGAGGCTTTTTCCCGGAGCTCAGAGCCAGCGCCGGCCACGTGCTCCGGGAGGTGATACCTTCTGGACAGTGACCTTCTGATGAGGATCCCAAGCCTGAGGCCTTCCCGCCCTGGGTTTGCTAGGATTGTCACCTGAATACAGGGGCGAGAGGGGACGCCCATAATTCAGATGCCGATGGTGTTTCAAATCTCATTTCATATTTCATTGTCTGGAGAAAAACACCTTTATCTGAGTTTCAGCATTTTCTCCTTGATCTGTGGGCTTTTAACGTGAAACTTTGAAGAGAAGCTCATCACTGTCTTTTCCTTCTTGGGCTAGGTGTGTCTCTTTCCCCTCTCACTTCTCTGTCTTGAGTCTCCGCGGTCCTCCCAGAGCAGATCTTTCCACGCACCCTGCATCTCCTCACTGTGCGGCCGGTCTCAAAGGGCAGTGGGAGGCAGGAGTTTTGTTCTCCTTCGTCCTGCTTTCTGGGAAATCTCTGGACTTCACCCTGAAACTTTTCCTTTGAAATTTCCATTTCTGTCATCATGTTTTTAGTTTCTGAGGGTCTGTCTTACTTTCTGAATGATCTTTTAAAAATGCATCTTGCACTTTTCTGTGGGTGTAAATCTCTGGTATTTCTTAGATGAGTATTTCTTTTTAAAAGATTAAAATGCATCTCCAGGGACTTCCCTGGTGGTCCAGTGGTTAGGAGTCCACACTTCCAATGCATGGGGCACAGTTTTGGTCCCTGGCCAGGGAAATAAAACCCTGGCATTCTGCATGGCTTGGCCAAAAGAAAAAAATAAATAAAAGGAGAATGTTTAAAAAAATAAAATGCCTCCCCAAAGCTCTGTTTGCACAGGAGCTGGTGGGTGGGGGCACACGTGGCCTCTAGTTGGGGAACTCCACATGTTTTTAGTTGGGTCTGTGGGGGTGGGGGGACACACTTGCCTCTTCCATCTGGGCTCGCATAGGGTGGGGGGGGGGGGGGTGAGTAGCGCCCCCCCCCCCCCCCCCCCCCCCCACGAGCTGTGTGCAGGGTCGTGGGCCAGCCTATGTCTGACACAGGTTTTCTGGAGTCAGCCTCCAGCATCCTCCAGCTTCCTCCTGGAACATTCCTTCTCTGGTCCTGTGGCTGGGGCACCTAGGTGTGATTCTCTGCAGTGTTGCCTCTGATTCCAATATTCTGATTCCATTATTGCCTCCAGCTCTTGGTACCTTTGGGGAACGTGGGCGGGACTGACTTGCTCTCCCTGCTGCAGGCCCTTAGGCTCCGGCTCCTTCTTTCACAGTGACCTCACCCTCCCTCCCCCAGCTGTTCCTCTCTGTCCTCACTTGTCTGATGGGTTGTCTCTTCTCCCATCTCTTTGACCTGAATGTGTTTTTTTATTCCTTAAGCCATTTGACAAGGGATTTGGAAAGGACTGGAGAAAAATGCACTTGGGACTTCCCAGGTGGCACTAGTGGTAAAGAACCCACCTGCCAATGCAGGAGACTAAGAGATGCGGGTTCGATTCCTGAGTCTGGACAACCCCCTGGAGGAGGAAATAGCAACCACTCCAGTATTCTTGCCTGGAGAATCCCTTGGACAGATGAGCCTGGCCGGCTGCAGTCAGGTCGCAAAGAGTCAGACATGACTGAGCAACTTAGCACGCACACACAGAGAAAAATGCATGTGTCTGTTTCCTGTGTGTGAGTGGACCCCTTTCCTAACAGCTTTACAGAATTATTTAACAGAGAAAGAGCTGAGATGAGACCTTTATACAATTGAGCAAAACTGGAGGTTCTTATGCAGCCGTCAGGTTCTGGAGAGAAAATGATAAACATGCAATAATTAGAATTTATCATTCTTACAGGATGATACCTAGAAAAATAGGTTACGTCTTTTTATTTTATTTATTTTATTTTTATTTTTATTTAGATTAGGTCTTTTTAGAGTGCTAAAGGTTTGAATAAAATCAGTCTCTACCAAAACAAAGTGATGTGTCGCCGTACTTCTTAAACCCCTCCCCAAATTTCCAAATTTCTGGAAAAAATGTATTGGAACATGCCAGTTCTAGGTTAATTATTGTGTATAGATGGCACATGTTTCTGAAACTTACTTTTAGCATACTTCTTTTATGAAGGCAATACAACTTCATTGTCAGAAATTCTGGTATGAAATAGAAAATATCCCACGTCCCCCCAGCTGGAAGTAAGCCCCCCTGTACTGGGTTCTGTTTATACTGGGTCAGAATCCATGCCCATGGATTCATGGCTGTGTTCTCGTCTTCTTTCAGGACACTGGTGTGGGGAAGTCCAGCATCGTGTGTCGATTTGTCCAGGATCACTTTGACCACAACATCAGCCCGACCATTGGGTAAGTTCTCATCTGTTCTTCCAATTCACCTTTCATCCTTTCTAAGTACCCAGAGAGGTCACAGTGTCGGAGCCTTCGGGGGTGTTTATCCCAGCCAGGGATACTCAGTCCCGACTGTGAAGACTTGGACACAACTCAGGGACTTGGGCGGTGTGTCCAGTCCTCCTGTCCCTGCAGTCCCCTTCACCCGGCACCAGCCGCCCTCACTGCCGCCTCAGGTTGTTTCCTTGATCTCTGAGTGCATTACTCTGCAGATCATACCGACTTTATTTCCAGATGGAAGTTGAGATCTGGGACGAATCCCTGAAGGTCCTGCTTGAATTTGCCTGCCAGGAAACCTGGGAACGCGTCCACTCACAGCAGAGCCGTCTGCACGGCTCGTGGGCAGATTGATTTTCCTTTCCTGGCTTAATTCAGTGTCGGCATCTCTGTTCTGATGCTCGGGAGGGGAGGGGAGGGTTGCCCTCCTACCCCCTGCCCTGCCCAGACCCCAGCCTTGGGACGTAAGAGCACTTCCTGTTCGCTTTCTCCTTGCTATGGATGCCTTCACCAGATGTGCTTCTGCTGTGCTGTTTTGCAGGTGGTTAATTTTTCACCATCTTAGTACTTGGCCCAATGTGTTTTTCTCCATGAAGACAGCATGCACTCTGCAGAGAGCAAGGTTTGGTTTTCCTCAGCGGGGAAACAACGGGTGTATCAATTTGGGGAACTGGGTAGGATGGATGAGGTCAGGGCAACGGCCTCCATCAGCCTTGAGTGGAGAAGATTCACGACAGGGCACACAGCAAGCTTCTGACTCACAGCCATCGAGTCCACTGGGAGTCCACCCACCTCCCACAGTGATCACTGCCTTGGGAAAGACCTCAGGCTGTGAAAGGGCATCGTTTCTGCACCGAAAGTTCATCCTTGTCGCCCAGTGACTCATGAGAAACCCTGACTGCTATTCAAGCAGATTGTCGGCATCATGAACAGACGTGTGCACCTCTCTTTCTAGTTTGACCTTTACAAGGACATCATGTTTCTTCTCTGCCAGATTTCTGCTTCCCGCAGGTAATGAAGCCAGTTCAGCATTGCTCACCCCCACCGCTCGGGAAGCGAAGACGCCTGAGAGTCTGAAGTTGAAAGCTAGTAAGGAGGCTGAAAAAAAAACACAAAAAGAACAAAAACCCAACCAAAAGAGCAACGGTTGTCAGTCTTCATTTCAAACAGTAATCGTCTTTATCTTAGTGGCAGGAAATCAGGAACAAAGAGAGGTGTGTGCATGTGTGCACACGTGTGTGTCTGCACATGTAGGTGTGTGTGTGTATGCTCAGCCATGTCCGACTCTTTGTGACCTCATGGACTGTAGCCCGCCAGGCTCCTCTGTTCCTGGGATTCTCCAGTCAAGAATCCTGGAGTGTGTTGCCATGCCCTCCTCCAGGGGATCTTCCCGACTCAGGGATCAACCCTCATCTCTAGCATCTCCTGCATTAGCAGGCAGATTCTTTACCAGTTGAGCCAGCAGGGAAGCCCCACATATAGGTGAATACATACATACATATGGTATGATATGCATTGCTACTTTCATTAGAGCTGTTTCTCGCGGGCTCACTGTGTATCGATGGGGACCTCAAAGCTGTCATTTCCTCATTTGACCCTGAAGCAGCCCTTAGGTCACGCAGGGTGGATTTGGGGCCTATTTCACAGATAAGCAAATTGAAGGACTGTGACCCTCATCCCCCAGGGTGGCCTTGGGACTCTGTCTTCTCCCCTGACTGTGCTATCAGATTCTTTCTTGACCAGGGTCAAGGCCGTCTCTACGGTCTTAGGCTTACCTCCGTCTTATCTGTAAAGTGAAAAGCGTAGCCTGGGTATATTTTTTTCCCCTAGCTCATAAAAGTCTAAGATTTTAAAAGCATGAACTTAGTTTTCTAAACCTGAGAACTTTTTCTGAGCAGAGTTGCTGTTATTATTTACCCCATTGCCTAGAATATATTGAAGAATAAATGAAAATCTGATTTGTTGTTTAGTTTCTAAGTGACTTGTTTAGTTGCTAAGTGACTTGTTTAGTTGCTAGGTCGTGTCTGATTTTCTGCCACCCCATGGACTATAGCCTGCCAGGCTCCTCTGTCCTTGGGATTTCCTAGGCAAGAATACTGGAGTGGGTTGCCAGTTCTTTCTCCAGGAGATCTTCCTGACCCAGGATTGAACCTGCATCTCCTGCATTGTGAAGCAGATTCTTTTCTACTTTACCACCGAACCACCTGAAAAAATCTGACTTACATCAATGTAAAAACAAAAATAAGCATCAAGACAAAATGTTGATGTAGCGGTCTACATACAATTTTAAAAAGCATTTTTGGAAAATGTTCCATAAGCCAAGTTAAAGGGCAAAGGTTAAACTGGAAAAAATTTTTTTAAAATATATTGTTACAAAAAGTTGTATAAAATAGTCAAAAAGGACACAAGAAGCGGAATGACCATTCCTGCTTAAAAGTAGGCAAAGGTCATGAACTAAAGATTCACAAAAGGAGAACAACTGAACAGTGAACCCTAAAATGATGTTCAGACACACAGATTTCCTGTGTGTCATCCTGGAGCGGATTCGAAAGGCTCTTGTTTGGGGAAAAAGTCATCTCATACATTTCAGTGGGTGTATAGGTACGTACAAGCTACCATTCGGTGAGCATAGCAATGTGGAGAATATATGCTTCTAAGAAGTCCAAAGAGTAGTTGTATGAGAACACAAAGATTCAGGTACAAGGATATTCACTTAACCATTGTCAGAATAGTGAAAAATAGGTGACCCTGACATGGTGTGTAATATGCAGTCACCAGGTAATGATGCTGTATCTATAGTCACAGAAATAGAAAGATGTCCACGATATATCAAGTGCAGGAGAAACGAAATGGGGATAAAAGTTGTGTCAACACCATTTGAAAGACAATACCAATTTATTAGCAGTGATTATGGTTGGGTAGTGAAATTTTGATTTTTGGAGTATATTTGCTCTGACGAGTAAGCTGGGACGTACAGTTTAAGAACTCTTTAAGAAATGAAATGTCATGCAGCAGATGCCATTTTGATCATGTTAGGTTATATCACTTAGAATATAAGTGATATTGCTTAGAATATCGCTTAGAATTTCCATCTAATGCAATTGTGTGTTGATAATTAGAGCTCGCTGACTATTCACCTTGGTGTTGAGTCCATTGTGGGGACAGTCATGGGACCTGCAGGGACGAATATCTTCCTCCCTGGAACTTCTGTGGTCTGCCCTTAGTCTCAGGGAAGAGTAGAAATTGAGGAAATTTTACCAGGATGAGCACTGAGTGGTTGCAGGCTTGGACCCTCGCTGGACCGTGAGGGCCCTTGGGGTCCATGAAAGTGAGGGAAGACATCCTGATGCCTTACCCCTGCAAACTCCAGTGTGCATCCTGAGAAGAACAACAGGAAGACACCTTTATTGTCCCTAGAAAGTGAATTTGGTTCAGTGATCATATCTGACATAGAGTCTAAATTTCCATTTTTCCAGTTGTCCTCAAAACGTCTTTGGAGTGCTTTTCCCACTAATCCAGGGTTCAGTCAAGGTTCATACAGCGCATTTGGTGGGTTTGTCTCTTTCCTCTCTCTTTATCTAGATTCTAGAACAACCCCCCATCTTTGGTTTTGTTCACTTTTCATGACAGTGACTTACTCCAAGCATTCGGGCCTGTCATCTGGTAGAATGTTCCCTATTCCAGATTCACTGGATTGCGTCCTCACAGTTAAATTCACATTAAACATTTTTTGGCAGGAACTCTGCACAGGTGAACAGGTGATGCATGTACTGACCACACCACATCAGGAGGCTCCTCGTGTCTGCTTCTCCCACAATCAGAGGCTTGCTGTTGTTTAATGAATGGGAAACTTTATCACACAGGAAAAAAACAAAAACAAAACCAAGGCTACTCAACATTCCTTGTGTTAGACTTTTACATCTTTTCTGAGCACTGAGGAAAAGCTCAAGAGGAACTATGCAAAAAAGAAAGTATCAAGTGTTTCATTATCTACTGAGAGTTTCAAATCCTCCGTTTTTCGTGGAGAAAACAAGTATTTGTTCATCTACCCATCTTTATCCCTGCACTTGCAGAAGCAGGATTGAGAATGAGACACAGTGTTGTAGTGGTTGCTGCCAGTGCTGGGTCATAGAGCAAGGAGTATGCACCACTGTTTACACCTCTGCAAGGCCCACACTCTCATGTGCCCGGATACAGCCGCTGTTTTCACTCTTAATTGTGGTGATGATACATTTTTAAAATCTAAGGTTTTCTTTCCTGATTTCAGGCATCTAATGTCTTAGGACTGTTAGTGTTTTGAAACACAGTGTTCTGAATACACTTTTTGCCTCCCCCCACCCAAGCCCCCTGTTGGACTAACAGAAGAGGTGGGATTTCTTCTTTGGGGTAACAGGTCCTCTTTCCTCTCCACGGCCTCTAGAGGAGAGCCAATGGGGTCCTGACAAGGCCCCGCCATCACAGGAGTCTTCGTGAAGGTCGCAGGGGTGATCGGTAATGTGCCAATGTCGCTTCTCTTTTTCAGGGCGTCTTTTATGACCAAAACTGTGCCTTGTGGAAATGAACTTCACAAGTTCCTCATCTGGGACACTGCTGGTCAGGAACGGGTAAGGACACGCTGCTGCTCGCTTCCTGGGGAAATGATGCCAAACAGCACTGGTTTCTTTGTATCTGGCAAGACTTGGTGACTAGTGATAGAAACCCAGCTTCAAATGAGTTAAGCAGGAAAGGAAACGTGCTCTTTAGGCATGAGGAACAGGAAGGAGCCAAATCCCATCCCTGCCAATGTGCCGGCAAAGCTGCACAACTCTATTCCATGTTCTTTGCTTGCTGACCTTGAAATTGACTTCTTTTTAGGCCGACCCCCTGGCCATCAGCACCCCCAGAAATAGAGCAGCTTTTCCCAGGCCTGCCCTGGGGGCTCCTCCTCTACCTGGTCTGAGCTATGTGCCCAGGGGATGTGGCACCCCTGCTGGCGGGGCCAGGGAGTGCACTTGCCCCTGGCAGTGGCTGCCTCAGTTCCACCCGAGTCCCGTGGCCTGGGAGCTGGACAGGCTTTGTTCCCTGAAGTCTGGGTTCCCATCCTGGGAAACGGGGGAATGGGTACTGTGTTACCAGGAACAATGGACGACGGCTTTCTTATTCCTGTTGTTGTTCAGTCGCTAAGTTGTGTCCAACTCTTTGTGATCCCCCCTGGACTGCAGCATGCCAGTTCCCTGTCCTTCACTATTTCCTCCCGTCTCTGATTCCTAATTCTTTTTATTTCCTGAAAATATTTATGGAGACGATAACTCAAGAAGCTCACATCTCTAGATTTTAAAAAGTGAAGTAATAGATACCTACAGACTGTCTCAAGCAGGGAATGTGTGTAATAACTAGGGCATATGTTATCAGAGTTGAGAGGAGTGGCCTGGATGGGTGAACACAGGGCTCACCAGTACCTTCTCTTAACCAATCAAAACTGGCTCCAGAGCTGGTTATCGCAGAGTAAGACGGGTTGGACTTGCCCTGGTCTGTTCCCAGCTCAGATGTCACCATCACTGCCCACCCCATTTAGAAGGTTGGCACTTCCTCACTCCCCACCCCAACTCACTCCCTTCTTCTCCACAGCCCTTACTGTGTGTGTTCAGGTGCCCACTTGTCTTTGGGACCCCACAGACTGTAGCCTGTCAGTCTCCTCTGTCCATGGGATTTCCCAGACATGCATCCTGAAGTGGGTTGCCATTTCCTTCTCCAGAGGATCTTCCCAACCCAGGGACTGAACCCATGTCTCCTGCATTGGCAGGAGAGTTCTTTAACCACTGCACTACCAGGGAAGCCTCTTCACAGCCTTCACCACCCTCTAATATGCGCCTCAGTTCGCTCATCGATTCTGTCAACCGTCTCCCTCTCACAGGAGAATCCAGGACTCAGGATAATCCATCGTTTTCATTATCAGCTCCTCACACAGCAAGTGTGTGTGTATACGAATTTCATTTTCTATAAATCCCCTCTTAAAATGAACATTCCAGTGTTTGTAGATGAAGCTGTCTCAGAGGTTTCCTTTCCTTTAATGAGGATGAATCTTCTGGCCTCAAATGGTACCTACCCTCCGTTAGAACATCTGCTACTTCGCTGTGGAATTGAGAACTCAGATTAGCACACAGGAAGCTGCTACCTGGGGCCCTTCTTTCTCTCTGACCGTGGGCCATACCCACTCCCAAAATTAGGGGGCTGGAGTCCAAGGGAAGTGAGCATAGGAGTCTCTTCTCTATGTCCCTGTATGTTCTCTGTAGCGATTGGCTAGATTTCTGTTTTTGGAGTTGGGGGTTTGTTCCTTAAGCAAAGAGGTTTTCTTCTTCCCCATTTTACTTTTGCTCATGAAACAGTTGCTTATGCAGCTGCTTTTTCAAAAAAATTTTTATTTATTTATTTTTGGCTGTGCTGGGTGTTCCTTACTGTGCTCACGGGCTTTTCTCTAGTTGCAGTGAGCAGGGGCTACTCTTTACTTCTGGGGCACTGGCATCTTACTGCAGTGGCTTCTCTTGTGGCAGCTCCTAGCTCCTAGGCTTTGGAGCGCAGGCTCAGTAGTTACGGCCCGCAGGCTTAGTTGCTCGGCGGCATGTGGGATCTTCCTGGACCAGGGATCGTAGCTGTGTCTCCTGCATTGGCAGGCAGATTCTTTACCACTGAGCCACCAGGGGAGCCCCTTCGGCGGCTCTTCCCGAGTGTCATAAGTCAGTTTTACACAGAGGCAGCGTTGCGGCTCCTCCTGCCGCTGCATGTCCTCTAGGCTGTGCTCAGGGCCTTCTGTGCACTAATGCGTGTGGCTCACTCATGGCACTTGGCTGGGGACTGTCTATTGCCATTTACAGGCGAGGTCACCCAGACTTAGAGAGGTTGAGTAACCTGATCAAGACCACACAGCTAAGAAGGTATAAAGCAGAAATTTGAATCCAGCAGTCTGGATCCTGTGACTGATAGTTCTGTTTTGATGGGAAAAAATCGCACAAAACCACACAATTAAAATTATCCCAAATCCCACGGCCCAGATATTTCTACTGTTGACATTAGGTGGCCATTCTCCAGGTAGCTCACTCTGTGTGTGTGTGTGTGTGTGTGTGTGTGTGTATGATTATTTCTTATCGATGGAATCCTGATTCTTTATAACCTGCCGTTTTCACTTGTGTTGAAGTGTCCCTAGAGGGAGATTTCTGTGTGATTGAAGCAGGGCTCTTGATCCTGACTTACCTATTCTAATAGTCATGAGATCAACTACTTTGGGTGAAATTTGGCTCTAACGTGACTATCAGAGTTTGGAGTCTGGCCCACTTAGCATTTCAAAGCAAAATCACCGTAACATTTCTTTCATAGGCCTGTATTTTTAATTATTCTAATTGCTTTTCTAAAATTTATCTCTCAGGTTGTAGATACCTGTGATTATATCACTGTGTCTATAATTTGAAAAGCATAAGCCTCATATTAGGGATTCTTCTTATACTCCAGGGAAAAGGGCTTGGGTTTGGGTGGTCATTTCAAGTGAATCCAGGTTTGTGGAGCGTGAGTGGACAGAGTCCGCCTGACCTCGTGACTGTGGGTCCCTCTGGCCCTCGACAGCTTGGCGTATTACCCCCGGGCTGACCTTGTCTCGTCCCTCCATGCAGCCTGCTCTCGCGCCAGTGAGGGCAGTTTCTCAGTCGTTTTGGCAGCTTCATGCTGGACTTAATGGTGCTTGTAATGACGTTGCCTCATGTTTGAGCTAAAAATAAATTCCCTGCTGTTGCTGGTGCGGATTGCAGTCGGTTCTCTCATTAATCGTTCGAGTCCAGTGCATTTTATTTTCCCTCCTTATCATTGTAGAAATCTACTGCTGTTCTCCTTAGTTTTCACAATGCTAAACCCAATCTCTTTAGATTTATGAGTTGACCGTATCAAGACAGATTTAACTGCTCAGCCCGGTGCTCTGCGTGTGATGATTCCTCAAAATGGGACCACGTCTGCGTCTGCCTGGCACACACAGCAGTCCTGTCAGTGTCCTACTTACTATGGTGCTGAGTCTACATTAGATGTGGCACCGATTCGTACTCTCCAAGGATGAGTTTTCCCTCTGAGCACTGAAGAAGTAAAAGGATCCTGGTCTCCTCTTCTTATAGAAGAGTGCATTCATTCTTTTTTGTTTGTTATAAATTTTATTGAAGTGTAGTTGATTTACAGTGTTGTGTTAATTTCTGCTGTATAACAACATGGCTCAGTTATACACACACACATATATATTCTTTCCATTTTCTTTTCCATGATGATTTATCATAGGATATTGAATATAGTTGCCTGTGCTATACAGTAGGACCTTGTTATTTATCCATCCTGTGTGAAATAGCTTGCATCTGCTAATCCCAGACTCCCAGTCCATCATCCGTCTTCAGCCCTCTGTCCCTCTTGGTAACTGCAAATCTGTGCTCTGTGTCTGTGAGTCTGTTTCATAGATAAGCTTACTTGTGCCATGTTTTAGATTTCACACATAAGTGATAGCATATGATATTTGTCTTTCTCTGTCTGACTTACTTCAGTTAGTATGATAATCTCTAGGTTCATCCGTATAGCCGCAGGTGGCATTGTTTCATTCTTTTTCATGGCCGAGTAATATTCCACAGTATATAACTACTGCATTTTCTTTATCTGTTCCTCTGTTGACGGACACTTAGGTTGTTTCCATGTCTGGGCTGTTGTGAATAGTGATGCTTTGAACATAGGGGTGCATGTTTCTTTTCCAACTAGAGTTTTGTCTATGTATTAGAGCGCATTCATTCTTGACATGTCGTATTTTGCTTTTAGTTCAGTCCTATATGATGGACGTCCTCCGATTCTTTCAGTGGCAAATGGTAATCCATCGAGTGCCTCTGTAAAAGTAATGGTTAAAAAAAAGTAAGCATTTCCAGTTGATTGTTGAATCCAGTTTTTTAAAAGCTTACTGTTTTGAGATTTGTGAATTGACTGTGCTGCTCCCCAGGGGGGTGTTTCAAGAGAAGAGTGCCCTGTTGGGGCTCGGAGGCGGCTTCTGGGGTGTCCGTCCTGTCCTGTTCGCAGGGGTTGTCCTGTTGGTTTCTGCTTCATGCTGACGGGTGAGGAGGGGCAGCGGTAGGTCAGCAGAGCCTCTAGCAGGATGCTCTCAGGGACTGGAGCTCAGAGAGAGCCCCAGGGAGAGAAGGGAATTTATCTGCTGAGCTCTGTGGTCCCAGCTCCCATTGTCAGGATTTGTGAGGGGAAATGAGACTTCTGTGCCAGGGTGTCAACTCATTGCTTCCTCCTGAGTTTCCTGTGATTTCCTCCTTTGTTCTTTCATTTCACCTGGGGACCGATGTATCCTCATTGCTACTGAATATCATAATGTGAGATTTACCTTTCTAGATGTATACTTCCAAATCTTTCTGTGACTGCTTTAAAACACAACCACAATCTATAGAATAACTCTATTAAATATGTCAGCATCCTGGGAAAATGTCAGGCTGCCTTCTCCTGGTCTGATCCATCAGAGCAGCATTACGTTAAGAATCTAACCCGGGGAAAAAATGAACATCATCTTATTCTTTTGTTTCATTTGGTTAGAGTCATCATTGTAGTTGTTTATCTT